CCGCAGCTGCAGTCGGGAGTCGAGGGGGAGAGGTGCCTTGGTGTTTGGGAGGCAGCTGCGGTCAGGGGAGTGCAAGAGAGACTGCTGTTTCGAGAGAATGCGGAAGATGTGAATGGGGTCAATTGACGCGCTTGAATTTTTTATGAAGTAACTGACCTTCAAGGTTTTATAGATTAATGTAATTGCGTAAAGAGCATCGCTGTACTCTGTTCGGCGTATAAAAAGCTTTTGTTTCCTTGAAAGATGAGTTACTGTCACTTGGGGAAAAGAAGCACGGGATAAGCAGAAGGAGCAGCCCCTTGCTTACATTAAAAAGTAGAAGGATATTCTTCCTATATTGCCTCACAAGGTTTTTTTAGATAGGCCTTGTACCAATGCTATTTTTAGTACAAACAGGTGATCCAAATGAGCATTGCTGGAAGTCAGTGGATGGCCAGAAAACAAGGTTATGCCTGTGCTGCAAAACTGTCGGTTCATAATGAGCCACAGGAGAGTATCGTGCTGTAATCAATTACTTTTAAAAACTGGTCTTTGGCCATGTTGAGGCTGCCTTATAATACCCCTGTGGTAAATATTTATATATAGTGATGGATGTCTATGTACTCCAGAAACTTAAAATAAATAGTTTATAATGACTTATTTGCACCAGTGTATGATGGTCCAGAAAAATTGATAGAATAAGCTACCAATCAACCAGATAAATTGCTTATGTGTTATCTGTCTCATCTTAACAAACAGTAATTCAATATTAAAATGTCTTGAGAACACAGGCTAAGGCGTTGGTTTATTGCTGTCTGTCTTTCTGTTTTGCTGTTATTTTTAGAACTTCTCACAGAGTTTGATGCCTCGGTACAGTGTAAGTTTCTTTTGAAAAAGGTGTTTTTCACATGATGAAAGAGGACAACAGAAAGGTCATAACATGCAGGATCCTATGGTCATTTAACTCTATCTCCATGTATTGCTGCAGTGGAGTCAATATGTTTCCATGTAGTCTCTAATATGCCTTCTTCCTTGTATTGCAATGTTTTGTTCTGTTTTGAGAACAGTCTCTGATTTCATCATTTCCGTCATTGTGTTTTAGCAGCTCCATTAATGTGCCCTTCTTGGAGTGTCCCTTCTTTAAGTTTTGTTTTGGTTGTGGTTTGTTTTTTTTTTTATCTAGAATGTATTCTTTGTTGCCATTGGGAACCTGTATCTTGGAGCCATAGTAGCAGAGGCTGTGGAGAGCATCTGGTTTTTCCCTGTAGTGTCCCCATGGATTCGGGGGGGGACAAAACTTGTCCTGTTTTGCCCCTGTTCCCTCCCTAGACAATGCCACCACAATGCTGTAGTGTTCCCTACCCCACCAAAGTGGTAATAGAAGTCATTTTATGCTGTTAAGACTTTAGCTCAAAATGGTCAAAACCCATAGAAAGTATTTCTGGTATCAAGAATGCTGGGCCGGTTGTGGCCAACTTGTTAACTACACATGAATGCTTGCAAAGTGGAACAGTTGGATTTCTTGAAACATTGAGAGGGAGAAGCTTTTCCAGGGCTTCTAAGGAAAGAATATCCCTTCCGAAGGAATAAGGGAATGCTTACGTACAGCTGAAAAGGATTAAATCTGGGGTTGTGTGATCTACAGAAAGAGCAATTCAGGGTTATTAGCCATTTCTGTGTACAAAGAAATGAGCTCCCCTTTCCCCTGCTCAGCTGTGTCTTCTGTCTACTTCTGTGTATCCTGTGAGGTATCTAGATTTTGACCCATTTACCTGCAAGCAATCTTTTGCAGGAGAAGAAAAAAAAAAAACCAACAGTGGGCTGTATTGTACTCAGGCAGTAATTTGTGTGCTTCTGCCAGCTTAAGTGATGTGGCTCACACTACCTCTACTTTGTAAAGAGAACACTGCTGAAAGGAAGCCAATATTGTGTAGTCTAGTGATAAATCCTTTAACTTTTACTTCTGACTGCCTGGCAGATATTCTAGTAAGAGAACTGGTAGTTGTGACCCAGCATTTCCTTCTATCCCTGTATGCAGAGGAGTGCTGCTGTTACAGGCTGGGAGGTGCATTCTGGGGAACGTGACAGAGCAGAAGGGCAAATTGCAGTACTTTCTGCAGCAATGTTCTTCTTCCTCAGTGTGCTGTGGTTGTTGCTACTTGGCTTGACTATTATGAACAGCTCTCTTAACAGGGAGTGGAGACCTGCCTTAGCATGTCTTTTCTCAAATTGTCAACCACCTATTTTGCTGTAGAGCTTTGAGGTTTCTTCTTTGAGTTCCTGGAAATCGGTGGTGGTCAAGACTGGGGGAGTGATTGGGCTCACCCTAGAAGCAGCCTGAATATCTATATATTAGGATGTTTCTCAGTCACTGGGTCACTCAGGATTACATATCTCTGTGTCACATCTGGAGAATATATTTGGAGCTTATAGCTCATTTCCATCTTGCTCCTGTCGGTGTGTCCTTTATGTCTTCCTAACCCTTGCTGTCCTGGACAGCTGGGACTCCAAAGGGCATAGAGGCTGAGGACATCCATCATCTTGGTGGTCAGAATAGCAGGAGGTTTTGGTTCTCACTCTGCCATGCCAACTTGACTAGCATATACGGGTTGACTGCAAAAGAGTAAAGTGTGGAAGAGAGTTGTGTTGTGTGTGTGTGTGGTTTGTTGTTGGCTGGAGGTTTTTTTTTTGGGGGATTTTTGTTTTTTAGGAGCAAGATGCCAGTCAGTTTGAAATTGGCCATATGCTCAGTAGCAGTGCACTGCGGTGATGCTGCTGGAGATTCTGATAGTTGGCAGAAGAAAAGTTGTGCTCATACTAGTTTTGTGTTGGCAGACTTATGGCAAGCAGGTACAAATGTCTCTATGTGACTGTCATGCTTTTCCTTGGTAGAAAAATCTCGTAATTTAGATGCAGTGTAGGTGGAAATAATTTCATATGACAGTCTCCACAAAACTAAGTGAAATTTGATTTATTTGTGAAATAAGCTGAAACAAAATTAACTATAATAGACTGGAATTAACACATTATGTGTTCAAACAAGTTGTTCTCTGGTTTTGGTATTGGAAACGTCTGATGGTTTTGTGTTTTGATTTATAGGTTGAAGACTTTGGGTGACAAATCAAGAGAAGCAAAAAAAAGCAGGCAGAGGTACTTCTGAATATCTTAATGTATAGCATTGATCTAGAATGTTCTTGTTAAAGAAAAATTTGAAAGTGGCTCATATATATGAGCCAGTTACAAACACATTTGCATATAATTTTACATAATATTATTTTGATAACAGAAAAGCTTAACCCTAATATTGAGGAAATACTTTGCTTAATAGAATCTTGATTGACAGGCCTAAATAATTTCTGATAGCCATCAATCAATTTATAAATGACTATTTAAATTATGTGAATATTCTATGTTATTGTAGTACTTTATAAAAGATTCAGGTTGCAGTACACTGAAATGTAATTGTTTACAATCTCTGTGAATCTCATGTACTAAAATTGTAATTCAGTTTTTTTAGTGCAAGAACAGAAATATGAGCCTTTTTATTGTGGAAAATATATGTATAATGGAGTACTTCAATTATCTGTTTTCATCTCTATTGCAAGAAGATAGAAGAATTGTGGTGGGTTTTTTATCCCCTGCATTTTAGTATATTGTTCATTCTTTCAACCTGTGTAAACTGTAGGGAAAGACTACTTAATGTCTGTAAATGACATCTGTGAATGTTGCTTCTTCAAATAAGCTCAGATGTGTTTTAGTGTAAAGCATGTTCTTACTAAAACACAGTGTGTAGACACAAATTAGTTTTAAAACAAGCCCTGAAAAGAAAATAAAGCATCTGAAATAAACTGTATTAAGTTCTGAAGCTTGATGTTTTGGATGTAAAGGTTTGTTGTGGTTTAACCCCAGCCGGCAACTAAGCACCACACAGCCACTTGCTCA